CTGGGGAATTCTGGGAGTTGAAGTCCACCCGTCTGAAAGCTGCCAAGGTTGAGAAACACTGACCTAGATAGACCTTCTCCAGGAGGATCTGTCTCCAACCTGGTCCTTCAGCTCTTCCAACGGTGCCCTCGTCGCCCCTCAAACTGAGTCCCTCCCCCTTGCTGCTGGTCGTCCTCTTCTTTTTCCTTCCACCTTTCCCAGCATCAGAGCTGGGTCTTCCCATAATGATCCCAAAGTAGGATCACTGGTCATCCGTGCCTCGAGGGAGACGTCTGGGTTGATTTGTTCCATGACCCATCAGTTTGTTTTCTTGGCTGTCCATGGCCTTCTCAGGATTCTTCTCCAACACCCGAGATCAAAGGATCCATACTCTTCCTCTCCTGCTTCTTCAAAGTTCAACTTCCGCTTCCATAAAGGGTCACGGGGAAAATGTAAATGACAAGGAGGTCAGTAGGCTACATATACAGAAACTCATCTAACCAAGGTGGGTCCCCATTCACCATACCCACCCAAGGCCTGGGAGGACAGCTGGTTTTCAAGGCCTTCCGGAATGCCATCAGGGTGGGAACCAGCGGGATCTCACAACAGAGAAGGCAGCAGGCGGAAGTCCAACAGAACAGGAATGGGGTGATCCCGCGTTCGGTCTGACCTCTGTGTCTTGGCAGAGTGAGGGAAAACGCCATTTCTCATCACCCCTTGCCATTCATCACCAGCTGGGAGTCTCACAGAGCGTGGGAGTTTCATTAAATTTGTTTAATAATAATTCCATGTTGCCTTTAATGTGCAAAAGGGCAACTAAAAAGAAAGGGGAAAAGTGCCACAGCTTAGGCGTTGTTAGAAATGTTCGCATTCTTCCTGTCGCGCTCCCACAAACACACCCAGCCAAGAAGTGAAATTGGGGTTCCTGGTGCCTTTTTTAGCATGTTCAGCGGCTCGAGGCAGCTTTGCCTGGCCTAGAGAACACTTTAGAAACAACAGAAATTAATACAAGCCAACGGAGCACGTGCCCATCTCCAGGGCTTATTTAAACTTTGACGGTCTTAAATGCTGGGTGAGCTCAAATAATTCTGTTTTGGAAAGGAACCTTTCACTTTAAAATGGGAGACCCACGAAGAAGGCAGCAATGGTGAATCTCTTAACCAAATACAGTATACTCCTGGCTCGATGGTTTATTAGAACAGTTTTTATTACAAAGTTCCAATCACCATGTACAGTTTTTACAACTTCCACTTAGCCAGAGGAGGAGGAGGAGACGATGTGTTAATTCCAATCCCCCCGACTAAAAATCAGCAGAGTCCATGGTAGAGTCCTATCTATAGAGAATTGTTCTACCGAGAGGTGGGGAACAGAGGCAAAAAGAGGCATTTCATGTGGTTTAAAAGAAAGGAGGGAGAAATATCTAAAAACATAAATCATCCTGGATGTTATTTTTGGGAGGTATTCCCCAGCTTGGCACCCTCTGTATGCGTTGGGACTACAGTTCCCAGAATCCTCAGTCAGCAGTTGGAATGTTTGTGAATATTCCATAGCACCTCCTGGCTTAAAAAAAGGGGCCAATTTCAACTAATTGCTATAGTTATCACAATTAATGGCTTAGAGTGGTTAAGACTGCAACCTTCAAAAAGATCGGGGGGTTCCCCCATGAGTTGGGGGGCAGGGAGGACCAAGTTCAGGAAAGTCCCTGGAACAATGACATCTTTCGCTGTGCAGCTAGAAATCTTTCGGCGCAGCTCTCAAATGGCACCATCGAAATAACTCCTGCAAAGTCACCTGGGGATTTCTCACCTTCCAGAAATCCACAGCAGCTCATCTTAAATCTCCCATGGGGGCATCCGGTGCAAGCCACAATGACGCCGTGCCTCATTGTGCAAACGATACCCATTACACCATCTGCATCATTTGTCTCATGACCTCCTGGCATGGGTGACCCTGTGCCCAGGCCCAAATGAGCTTTGGCATCACCTATCTGAGCTACGAGTGCCCAGCAACACCAAGCCGCCCCCTACCCCCAGGAAAAGGCCCCAGCAATTCAGAGGTGCCCACTTTTTGCTAGAGGACTCTGCTCTCCCCTCTGTCTCCAAGATGCGTCCACAAGACACACAGACCCAGCAAGTGACCACCTTTACCACATGTGAATCCAGACTCGGTGGTCAGTTTTGGATTCTGTGTCTCAAGCAAAGCTAGGAGACCGGGTTGAGTGAACCAGGGTTCAACAGGGGGACCCAACCCATCAATTCCCTGGGAGGGAGTCAGGACCCTTAAAACACTTTTCCTGCCCCCCACCAAACAGAGAAGAGTGAAGCTTTTGCAACAAGGGACCTGCGTACTGTCTCCTCCATCTGCTTAGCTTGCTGTAAATCCTCTGCTTTACCCATCTTTAAACAATAATTTCGATGGGTTGACTCACTTCCCCCGCTGCTCCAAGCTCTCTACTCTGGATGGAAGAAAGAAAGGTTTTCATTTCCTCCCTAAAAGCGGGCGGGGGGGCAAGGAGGAGGCAGGAACATAGAACTGGCTCGCCACTTCAAGCGTCGCTTCTGAATCCGTCCCGGGGCAGCTGCTGAAACCGCTTGCAGCGAGCAGTGAAGATGCTCCTTCCTGCCCTGTCTGGATGGCACGGGGGCACGGTTCTCCTGGCACCTCT